AATAAATAAATAAATAAATAAATAAATAAATAAATAAATAAATAAAAAAAATATTCTGGGGAAGGGATTAAAAAAAGAGCTCTTGTAAATAAATACTGTGAAAGTAGGAGTTTAAAATTCAGTAGATAAGTTAGAAGATAAAACTGTGGTACTTAACCCCAGAAAAACCTATACCAAGAAAGTAGAGATGTAAAATAGTAGAAAAAGAAAGTGAGAAGATCAAGTGGAGGCAGAATGTTTGAACAACCGATGTTCCAGAGATTGACAAGAGAAGGAAAAAACTCCAAGAAACACAAACATTTTTCAGGATTGAAGAGTGTCCAGATTAAGAGGGGTCACTGAGTGAGGAACAATGGATGAAAAAAATGCCTACTCCAAGGCATGTAATTGTGAAATTTCAGAGCCCCAGGGAGAACGAAAAAAACATAAAAGATTCCAAAAAGAGAAAGAAAAACAAGTCACATACAAAGAATCAGGAATCAGAACGCTATGAATTTCTTACTAGAAGCTATAATACACTGGAGAATTGCCTTTGAAAATATGAGGAAAAATTATTTCCAATGTAGAATTTGGGTTATATACCCAACCAACATAGGAATCAAGAGGGTTGACAAAATAAAACATTTTTAGAGATGCAAGTCTCAAAAGTTTAACTCCCATGCACCCTCTCCAAAATGTAGGAGTAAAAAAAAAAGCTATAAAATCCTGGCAACAGGAGGTCCAACACAAGGTAAATGAGACCCCCAAGATATCAGTGAGAGGAGATCCCAGAATTACTACCATGCTACTTCAGAGAACAATTAGTCCACACTGGAGCAAGAAAACAAAAGACACCCAAAAGACAATGCCAGAAGATGAAACTGACAAGCTGATTAATGGGTTTAATCATACTGAGAGGAAATTTATTCTTTTGGCAAAGAATTTGGTGATTAATAAGTGATAGGTATAATGAAAATAACAGAAATGAAAAAGAGAAATAAAAGTTACTCTCCTTTTCATTAAGATCATAGGTTTAAGCCACTAAAAAATGATTTCTCAAGTAAAAAAGTTCATACAGGGCTCCTAGTATGGTGTTCCATGGTGTCAGAACCCTGGCTGCTTCTCTCTTGCTCTGCCATCTTCAGCATGTGGTTTCTACCTCATAGTCCAAGAACTCAAGCCATTACATCCACATTCCAGCAGGCAGAAATAAGAAAGAAACAAAGAGGGCAACAACCTAAACTGCTTTAAGACCACTTCGAGTAGGTCATAAATGCATTAACACATCCCACTGGCCAGGACTTAGTCACATGGCTGCACTAAGCTGCAAGGGTTCTATTGCTAATTTTCAAAAAAGGTGGGGTGGGAGAAGAATGGCTATTGGGAAATAGCTAGCAGCCTCTGCTACCTCCCTCCAGCACTTTCTATTCTCCATATCCTACTTGTTTTTCCTCATTGTATTTATTAATCCCTAACATATTTTTCCTTCATTTGTTTACCTGTTTCCCCTAACCTGGAAGTTCCAAGAGGACACATACTTTGTCTTTTATTCACCTCTGCACCCCAGTTTTTGTAAAAGTGCCTGAAGCATAAAGGAGTTTAATTAATACGGGTTGAATGAGGGTATGAACTGTGAATTCTACGGAGAAAAAGTCTAAGAAAATAAACTTAAACATAAAGATCCAGTCCAGGCACAGATGATGGTTTTTTGTCTTGCTTGGTTAGATATGGACACCCATCAACTTGAAAAACTGACTCACTACCTCTGGAATTACTAACTTTAAAAAGCCTCCCTTCCTCTGAACAGATGATTCAAAAGTCTTTGCAAAGGCACAACCAAAACAACCACAGATGAGAGCCCTCTAATAATTCCCTAGCCTTAATAGTATAAGCAATATCACTTCAGTGTGTGCATGAATGTAACTATTGTGTAATTGGGTTTAGTTATGTGTTGTGTGTGTAGTTATGTGTGTAAGAAGGTAACGTAATTAGTGATAAAGGCATAAAGATCAATATAGTGTAAATTTTAACTATTTTAATGTGATTTATCAGATGAGGGAAAGGAAGTGTATTTTGGGTGAATGGTATGTTAACAGACCTATATCCTCAATTTCCAAGCAATAGATACTATCTGTAACTGAAAATATCAAGAAGCACCAGAAAGTGTATATAATTCAGAAAAAGGGAAACAAGCATTAGAAGAAACAGCTGAAAATGTTGAAAGCGGTTACTCTGGGACCTATATCAAGAATAAGAAGCCAAGATCAGAAGTCTGCTGATTTGTTTGTTTAAATTTGAATTTCCATTATCTAGTTCAGTGCCCCCATTCCTCTGAGCAACTAAGAAATACTCTAACAAGGCCATGCTGGAGGTGGCGACAGGGAGAGAGAATGCACTTAATAAAGAAGAGTGAAGGCTCACTGGTCTTTAGCTACATGTAAATCACCCGAGTAAAAATTAACCCCGGCAAACACGTCCACGAGTTAAATGCAAAGCATGACAGGCACGCATCCATACTGCCTTCCCAATGGTCACACAAACTCGCATTCTACACACGAACTTTTACGAAGTGTACGCAGGTGTGCATGGAGATGAGGTGAAATTAACTAATGTCACAGCTGACACTGGGGGTAAGATCTCTTGAGGGAACAAAAGTGCACCGGAAGGTCAGGGCTGACACCGAACGCGCATGGCATGGGCTGGTGGCGGGCGCCTCGCTGACTGGGCTGTCCGCCCCCTCTCCCCCCTCCCCCCGCCCCGCCGCAGTAGGAGGAGCTGCGCCGCCCCGAGCCTGCATCTACCCTTGCGCAGGAGCTGCTCCCTACCAGTAGAGAAGCCACAGAAGGAATTTAAGGAAGTATACCGGCCGCTGCCCTTCGCGGCGCTCGAAGCCGGGCCATGCTTGCCATCCGAAGGAGCCTGACTAGGCTCTGGCCGCTCGTACACTGGCTCTTCGGGTACCTGCTGCCGGGACGTGCCCAAAATGTCTCCTGGGGGAGGGGAGGGGAGGGGACTGCTGGGAGCGCGCTGGCCGCGCATGCGCCTACAGGCCGAAGAGCCCAGGTCTGAGAGCTCGCTGCTGCCGCCTGAGTTCTAGTGCAAGTCCTAGAACCCGCAGGGCAAGGACCCCGGGACAAGCTTGGGGAGGAAGGGTGCCGTTAGGGGAAGACCCACTGCCAGGGTTGCCTCCGGCCGGCTCGCGAACAGCCATGGACGGGGGGGGCTTTTGCAGCCTAGGTGCCAGGTAGCCGTGAGGACACCCCTGAAGCGCCAGCTGCTGCGTTCTTGCCGCCCCGCGCTATCGCTGTCTCAGCATTGGGGCCTATGGCAGGCGGTGGTCCAGCTTCTCTTTGATTTGTCCTTTGACAAACCCCTTCAGGCTGAAGGGGGAAGGAGAAAAGGTCAACCAGCAGCTAGCAACAGAACTGGCCTCCCCCTTTTCAACGAAATACGCAACCTCCCAGCATTTTGCAGACAGAGAACATTAAAGAGGGGCGCAGGGTGCCAGTGGGGAAGCATCCTCCCAGCTGCTACTGTCTCCTGAGGTCAGTGCCCAAGTCAGGCAGGTAGGGTAAGGAACCTCACAGTACATAGGATGACAACCTCATTTAAACTTAATGAGAAATGTACAAAATAGACAGCTTTAACTGACGGGAATTGGTCTAATACGCGCATCTAACCAAAGATTTTTCTCCTTTTGTGGTTTAGGTTTGTACTCCTTTCTCAAGCAATAGGACAGGAAGGGGATTTACATAGAGACTGACTTCCTGTAAAGACTAAAGAGGAGCCATAATGGCCCCATCACTCACGATTAGCGAGACAGCCTTTATCCTGAGTCTCTCTACCGGGGCAGGGCCAAAATTATTCCTTACAACTTTATCCTGAACTTTGACTTTACTAAATGTCGATCAAATGCTCTCTTATAGGTGACTTGGAAGTTATTGCTGCTGAAAATGAGCCCTGACATGAATATAAGGGAGCTTGAAGTACTCATGATTCTTCTCCCAGCACAGTTCTAAGTTTCTGCCCTGCAACAACAATCACTTCCCCCCCAGCACACACGTTCTTATCTGAACTGCTGTTTAAGCTTTCCCTGGGCTTCCTTTGCTACTTGTTTCTTTCTCTTGTGAAAGATAACAAAATTATGTGCCTTGACCACATACTTGTTTCCAAGTATCAATACAAATTCCTGAAAAATCAACTAAAAAAGCAACTGTTACAAATACCCACTGGCTCATTTTCTGATATATTTTATTTATAATACTTATTAAACTATTACACCAAGCAGTTTTTATTTGTGTAATATTGTCTTATTAGAATTTGGTTAAAATGACACAAAAAAACATGTCCACCAAAAGTAGGCGTAGCTGCAGTTGTTTCTGGTGGGAATACCTGCTTTCATTGTAAGCTTAGACACTTGGGCAATAGGAATGTAACTCAGAGGGGACATGAGTGGAATGAACTCAAGTAGCTAATTATAAATATGACATTATGCACAATTAAATCACATACATAGGCAATTGTGTGTTATAACCAAAAATATGTCAGAGAAAGGAGCCTACTGGTTTCATTTGACATACCAGCTGGTCAACATAAGCCCCAAATTTGTCCATAGCTTTGTTTGTACCAACATTTGTATTAGATAATTTTGATTAATCAGCTTCAGGAATTAACACATGATATCCAAAACTACAATAACATGAAATTGTAAACACAAATGCCATATGAGTGTGTGTGTATACACGTGTGCATATACATATTTACATACACACACATTTACATTCACAGGATAATTTCTGGCAGGTAATTTCCTACCTAAAGTTAAGTTCACTAAGACTCAGAAGATTAAACACAGCAAAAATTTATATAGTGACCATACCTCTAATACAAAAAGAACTAATGGTTCTTAAGGGATATTTCCATCAACCTTCCATTTGTGTGTGTGTGTGTGTGTGTGTGTGTGTGTGTGTGTGTGTATGAATGACATGAGAAAAAGACCAAAATGTCATATATTTATGTATATGTGTGTACATGTACATATATGTGTATATATGTATATTAGAAATAATGCATGTGCATGATTAACAATTACTTCCTAACACTCTAGTCAAGTATACACAGCAAACAGATAATTATACATAACTTAACTTATTTAATAAACACTTATTTGGGCCATTTAACTTTTAAAGTTGAAAGTGATTGCAGTCAGAATTTCAGAGCATTTTTTGTGGCAAACTAAAAAAATGTATGTAAAGTTTACCTGGAAGGATAAGTGACTAAGAGTAGCTAATAAAATAGTTAAAAGACACATTATATCCATCTGCCTCCTCAAATTCCTTACTTGAATGTCCAGTGGACATCTCACACCCAACATATTCAAAGCTGAGCTTCTGATCTCTACCAAGAAATTTAACTTCTAATAATACATCCTAAGAAAATTATCAGAATATACAGACAAATTTATTTTCAAATTGGAAAATACATGAATAGGAGAAAAATTATGAAAATTATTAGATGTCCATCTCATACCATATGCTAAAAAATAAAATTCAAATGGGTTATAGATTTCAATGTAGAAAAAAGTTATAGAATTACTAAAATAAAATACAGATGAATTTATTTAATAATATGAATGACAAGTATATGTCTTAAGCCAAAATAACAAATGAAGAAACAATGAAGGAAAAACAATGAGTTGATGATTTTATTATAAAAAAGCTCAATCTTTCTGCATGCCCCAAAACACCGTAAATGAAATTCAAAAGCAATGAGAAACATAAAAACTTATGCAAAGGTAGATGTACAGATGACTACTGAATATATATTAAAGAAGATGTAGATTAAGACAGTAATGAGAGCCATTTTCACCTAATAAAGACATACTTTTATAAATATAGTACTAAATAGGCTGGGAAAAAATAAGTACCCCTACTGTGTAGGGTACACTGGCTTAACCTTTCCCCTCCACAAAATTTGGCGATATAAATTAAAAGCCTTAATTTTTAAATTATTTTTCCCAGTATTCTAGGAAATATGCATAGTTGTATAGATGTGTTCAGTTACACAGGAAGGAAATTTGAAAGGATGTAAAACATACAGTGGTCATTTGAATGATGAAATTAATATTAAGTAGTATTTTAATTTTTATAATTGACGTATATAACTTTTATAAGAAAAAACTGAAAATGAGTAGGCACATTTTTTAATCTTAAGAGAAAAGGGAAGAGTAATATGTGGAGTATAAATCAGTGCATCGTTTCTGGATGACAAATTTATAATATGTACACTGTACATATGTAAGTATATATAAGATATTCCCTTTGGTTCTCTCAATTTTCATTTTAAGAGATTATATTGAGGAAATAATGAGATCCAGACTGCCTGGGTTTGAATCCCAGCTCCACCGCTTACTAACTTTGTGACTTGGAGTGAGTTACTTAACCTTTCTGTGCCTTACATTGCTCATTGATAAAATAATGATAATCATAACCTACCGCCTAGGATTCTTGTGAAGACTAAATGAGTTAATACATGCAAAACGCTTAAAGCCAGGCCTAGCACATAGGACGCACCCAATAAATGTAAGTAGTGATTTGTCTTTGACATTGTTATTTCTATAAATATACATGATAGGTGCTGCTCTAAGGAAGTTTTTGTCAGCGTTGTTTATGATAAGGAAACTTTAGAGACAATGTGATATGACCCTATGTATATAATATACTTGCAATACACAAATAGACACACATAAATCATATACATCATGTATCTTATATAAACATATATTCTGTGTATATATAAAAACAAATACATATATACATAAATATGGAAAAGATACACCAAAATTGAAAAGTAGTTATTTCAGGTTGGTAGGATTAGAAATGAGTATTGTTTTCTGTTTTTGTTTATCTGCATTTTCCAAAATCTATACAGCTAACACATATTACTTATAATTATTTTTTAAAAATTTAAATAAGTACAAGAACACTTATTTGAGTATTTTGTAGAATACCACACTATTTTGAATATAACAACAATATATATTTTGAATATAACAACAATAAGGTGTTGGGACAAAAAGTTGCTATATCTATAAGGAGGAATTCACAGAGCCATTAAAAATTAATATCACTGCCAAAGAAAATACTCATTGTTGATTTTTAAAAATCTATTTCTAAGCATAATATACAGCAAGACCCTAATTTTATTTTACTCATATTTTTTGAATGAAATATACTAAATATTAATATTAAAAGAGGTTTTCTCTAGGTGGTTAAGATTATGGCACTTTTTATATTCTTTGTATCAGGCAAATTTTCAGTAGTAAACACAATTTTTTTACAGTTTTGCTTTTTAAAATAAAAGCCTTCTGTTTCTTCATCTATAAAACCAGTTTGGCTAATTATCTTATAACTTTCTCTCCCAAATCTCTGACCCCTCTGAAATCTTATCACTAACATACTTAGTGTTACCTTGTTGATACTCACTATTTTGATTTAAAGAATAGGACTTTCAGTTTCTGATTAATGTTTCTGTCTTTCTTATTTGTAGTAATGCCACAGTCTTTAGAATCTATGTCTGGTTTATTTCTGCAGTCCATGTTCTTTGGTGGAACAAGAGTGCACATGGCTGAGCAGCTGGGAGACACCAGTCTCATGAGCATCCCAGAGTTGTGGCAGCTGGTAAGCTATTTCACTAAGCACAAGTTATTCTTAGAACAAATCTGATTTAGTCAATAACTTTATATACCTTTTTATGAATTTTTTTTCAGTTCGAGAAAGTGTAAATTACCTAGTGTCTCAGAAGAATATGCTTCTGATTCCTATATCATTTTCACCGTTGAAATAGTTTTCCACTGAAAATATGAAGCATCTCATGAACTGCCATAAGATGTGTCTGCTAATGGTTAGCATTTTAAAAGCTAGCTCTGTCCATTGTCACTACCGCCACAGGAGAGTTCTGTTCCTTTTCCCCTTGGCATTTCAGTATCTGTTATACTTTAGAAATATGTAGTCGCCACTACTTCTTGATCTTGATTTTTCATTTGTTTCAGAATATCTCTTCTTCTCTATTTTAACAATATTTTGCTCTATAGCATTTCTTATATTCATATAATGATTTTACATTTCTGTGACTGACAGTATCTTGAAATTATTTATACACTGTGTCTATCTTTTAATCATGTCTGTGTTATCTGAGATTTTTAAAACATTTTTGCCCAGTAAAGTTTATTTTGTGATATCAAATGGAATTCAGAAGAATATTATATCAAATATATTTCTTTACCTTGGGAAAGTACAGTATAACCTGTGTCACCTGTTTTAATTATGGTTTTCACATTAATTACTTGTAACTTTCACTTGGAAAATAGTTTTTAAAAAACTTCAGAAGACTTCTTTTATATGCTGAAATGTGTTTACAGTTTTATTAATTTTTGTTCATTTTGGATCACTATTTAACGAAGATCCTTGGGACATCTATTTGTTTTAAGGAGATCTTTATGTTTATGGAAATGCTTGCCCTAATAAAAGCCTACATAGCCATTTTGGTTTTTTCTTAATTTGCATTTTATATTTATATTATCGTATCTGGAGCTTTTACTGTGTTACTATAGGATGGTGACACAGTAATAATTTACCAACTTTATTGTAAACGTTATGTTATATCAAGAAAATAGCATGATAGTAATCCCAGAAGGAAGGTTTCTTCAGTACCACCACAGATACGCTAGGGTTTTCCTTGAAACACCTTTAGTTTCCATTTTAGTTGTATACCTCTGCTTTCTAAAACTAGGTTTGGTATTTCCAAGCTCTTTTGATAGTCTATATTTTACGTTTCTAAGACATATTATAAATTTATAGCTGTATTATTTTACGTTTCTAAAACATACTGTAGTCTATATTTATAGTTATATTATTTTACATTTCTAAAACATATAGCAAATTATGAATTAGTTGTCTAAAGGGAATTTGGAAAACAAGGTACAGTGTGTTAGGCTCCTGATAGAAGAAATGTCTAAAGGATTAAAAAACAAACAAACAAAAAGTCAGAAGGGAAAGGCGAGATGGTGCTCAGGTGCAGCCTATACTATCAACAGGCAAGAAAAGAATCCAAATAGAAGTTTTGTAATCCAGCTATTGTTGTGTTTTCTGTTTCCCTTCAAAGCAAAACTCTCTGTAGAGTTGTGTATACTCACCATCTTCCCTTCCTTACCTCTTATTCTTCCCTGAAACCAATCCAGATAGGCCTGCAGCTTTGCCAGTCTGCTGAAATGATTCTTCTGAAGGT